TCTTAAGTATCTCGTTCAATGTGAAAACACAAAGAAGTCAAGTCCACGAAAGTAGATCTCCTCATAGACCATTCTTCATCTAGATCCAAACAATCCTTTCCTCTTCAGCCATAGTTAAAAAGAATTAACTAAAAGTGACATCAGAGCCCGCGTTTAATTGGTTAGTGTTTGACGATTTGCAACACTACATCCTAACCCCACTGACTCACCAAAAAAAGAAAAAAAGTGACATCAGAAATGAGGTACCAAAAAATGCTTATGAACATCTCTTGATTGAGATAAGGAAAGATGCTTATGCACAAATCTTGATTGAGATCAGGGAAGTTGTTAAGCTCTTCATATACCCTCTTGATATGCGGCTCTCTCCTTGCCCAAACAATTAGTTGTTTCTCTGAATATAACCAGGAACTTAATACTGAAACAAGCATACTTTTCCTTTTGTTCTTCCCCATCCCAGACAAAGTCTTTGTCCTAGCCTCTGATTCCCAATCAAGCCCGGGGTCGCAATATGTTTCTTTGAGAGCCTATCCAGTGGTCCACGACTAACTAAAAGACCGTAAAAGAAGCCGCTTGAAGCCCTGATCATGAGATTTTTGGTTGCGAGTAATCCATAAATCAATTGGTGGAGAGGGCCGAACGAGGCAAATAAGCACCTCCTCTCTTTCCATTTGCCTTTGAAGACAAGGGTTGTTCTATCACGTGATCTTCTTCTTCAAATGCCTCATCTACTCAACCAATTTCATTAGCTCCAGCTGGAATGTCAAACTTTTCTTTGGCAAAGGTCCTTGCACCATGACCATCAGCCATGTCATCATCGATGATCACACATAGATCCCTCCAATAGGGCACATATGTCTTACGAAATTGTCTCACCTCCTTATGCTTCCGTGCCGCAAAATGTACAAGATGCACTAATTCAGTATTTTATTATTGTATGTAGGAATATCATCATCATCCGAGCTTTATCCCAATTGTTTGGGGTCAGCAACATGAATTATTCTGCCATTCAGCTATATCAAGGGTCATGCCCTCAATCAGACTATCAGTCATCATATTTCTTCTCACTATTTCTATCCATGTCCGTTGGACCATCTACTCACGCTTTTAGAGCTTCCACTGGAACCATATTAGGTCTACATTGCACATGATCAGCCCACCTAAGTCTACTTTCTCTCATCTTATAGTCTATTGGAGAATAACAAAAAAAACAAATAAAAATATAAACCTTCATATTGTCATACTAAACTATATCATCAACAATCACCATTTTTGCATACTTTGTCTCATCCAAAACCGTGTTGATTCATGAGTTTCTTTGTGACTTTGTAGGTCCTTCGAAGTTATTTGTTTTCTGGAATTTATCCTTTTGAAGGCTCCTTTCAAGCTCTCATTAAATTTAGGCTCGACAACAGTTCATGACTCATTTTAAAATCTTAATTATGCTTTTTACCCAAATGAGTTACTCGAAGAGCAAATCTTAAGAGTAGGCGATCCATGCATTGGGTCATATTACCTTCTTCCCCCTAGGTGCTGGCTGACTAGCCACTTGTTCAATGTCCATTTTAAATATAGCATTCATAAAACATGATACTGTAAACCAAAACAAACCTGTTACTCCAAGGCAAACATTGTGGCAAACATTTCCTAAATGCACTATCAAGGCAAATCTAACTCTTTGATGGAGTTATGAGGTCAAGCAATTATTCATTATACTTCAAAAGAATTGGTGAACATTTCATAAACACATAGCTATCATATTCCACATTCCATTTGAAGACATGGTGATAGAAATATAGTTGACCACAAATTAAGAATAAGAAATCCACAACAAAAAAATTATTTACCAACTAATTAAGCCAAATTTAATGTAGTCTAAAGTTTAAATACTTCAAATACTTGATTCAATCCTTAACAACTAAGAATTAAGATGGGCACAGGAATCTACCCTCTTTTTTCTTGTAATATCGTGGAGAAATTTTGCTCACTCATTTATCTTCCTTTAGCTCCCTCCCCTCCCGAAAGTTTCCGAGTTTCATACAATTAGGGACTTTGATCCACTATCTCCTCATCATCCCCAACTTCCTCCTTCTCTAAGATGAAATAATGAAGGATGCAATCTGCTAAAACAATCTTGAATTGTGTATTTATCAGGTAAGTGGTTCTCATTTCTATTACAGGAAATTGGTTTTTCAATACTAGAAAGGCACATTCTATGGAATTTGGTAATTACAAATGCCAATGGTTAAGCAATGCCTCAGTAGTCTAAATGGGACTACGATGTGCTCATCCCTTCAAATAATAGTGAGCACTAAGATAAGGGAAGAGAAATATTGGGATATTTTGGTACCCAACATCCATAGTATATCGATATGTAAAAAAAACAGAAGGAATATGTACTTCTTCGGATTTCATTATAAGAAAAAATTTATATAAGGGTGAGGCCCTAAACAATCAAATTAGGGCTTACCTCAAAAATTCACTAGAAAAGGTTGTTTATATACCAAAAAATCATCAAATCAATCATCCCGACCTCAAGATGTATGGACAAGAGAAAAATGGATTTCAAGTATCAGAAAGAGTACATCATGTAATGGATTTTATGGACCGTCAATTTTCAAAATTTTCAAGTGTCTATTGATCTCCTCGATGTACACTATTTTGTAAGCTTTAAATTTTAAAATTAAATACGAAAATAAATTTTCAAGCTATTATAGAAAGTTTTAATACTGAAACAACATCTTTTGACATTGTTTGAAGGTGCATCTTAAAGTTTTAATACTGAAACAACATCTTTTGTCATTGTTTGAAGGTGCATTTATTTTTATTGGTTAGGGTCTAAACCTTATAAAAACCACACCCTTCAGTTTATATGGCTCAATGTGTTTACCTATATCTCAAAAGGTATATATGAGATGCCAGTTTGGACTATAGGAGGGTCCCTCCTTGTATGATATGGCCCCTTTCTATTATGGTATCTAGAATGTAACTTGGGGCTAAAAATGGCTGGGATATAAGGACCATTGATGACCCCAATGCAATCCTGTGATCAAATAATAATTATTAGAAGGAAGTAGTATTTGTTAAAATGTGGTAAGTCAACAAAAATTGATAATTTATGCATTGCCTTGGATTAGTCCTTAAATATCTTAGTGTCACTAATTTCACAGGGGATCTCCAGCTCTAGTGGAGCTATGGAATCACAAGGCTAAACTGCAATCCACACTCCATTTAAAGTATTTAATAATTGTCTCCTCTGAATGGCAAAAGTTGTGACCTAACTTTGTGAGTTTTTTAGGTTTATGACTAAGATCATATAGGAACGTGAACAGGTGTCTTCCAAGGATACCTCAATTGTATCTTGTACATTCCCTCTCTCTCTTAGAGAGTTTCTTAATCCAAATTTGATTATGATAATGGATAATGTGAGGATTGGTTATTTGTTTGAGCTATAGCCTCTCCAGTCTAGACCCCAACATTCTATGATGATTTTTAGTCCCAACTGGAGTAAACCAGAACCCCTGTCTCACGAATCTTTACAAACTATGATTTGGAGAGACATAAAAGTGCTTAAAGGGCTTTTGGACTGAGAGGTTTGTTGGATTCCTTTAGTCAGGGTAGGTAGGAGTATACCTCATGATTATGTGAGACACGACATGAGTAATTTTTTAGTATTGCCATTTATTTTTAAGTATTTATGTGAGCTTGAGTATTCATGAGTATTTCCATAAGCCTGATGTGAGATGGCTAGGCTAATAAATCCATTTATCATTCTTGCTGAAAAAGATTGTTACTATTATATTTTTTACCTCTGAAAAAAGGGAAAAAAAGCACTCACATATTGCCATATGCTTTCTTTGATGGAATGCACAAACCAAAGCTTCATACTAAATCATGAATTCTAATACTACTTGTTAGGATTTAAGAACCATCTTATATACGAAAACAAGAACCTAGAAAGTTTGATTCCACTATGATCATGTACTTAATTGACTAAAAACAAAATCAATGAGAATACAAACAAGAAATGAAGCATAGACGCACATACCACAAGATACAAATATTTATGTGGTTCACCCAAAGGAATTAAATCATCTATACTATGAAAATTATATTAAAGATTACAAAGTTATCTCTCTAACCTTTAACAAAACCTATTCGACCAAGTCTTTTAGACCCATTCTTCCAAACAACATCACTGCCTATCTCTCATCTCTATTCCACAGCTAAACTACTTTACAGAAAGATAATCTTGGGTGTAACTCAGATTTTATCTTACTAAAAGAGGAAATCACTTAAAACTCTCCATGAGAATTGTCTCTCCAAGAAACCAGCCCCTCACCCTGTAGGAAGCATCGTCGTACTGTTTCTCTTTATAAGATGCTCTCTATAGTTGTTGCCCCTTAGTTGCAACTTCAAGGACACATCGGTGTAGATCATGGTATCGGAACAAGAGAGATTGTTGAGGATTACCTTGCACTTGGCTTTCATTCTCATCAAAATTGAAGCCACTTGTGGCATTTCTTGTCCAGCTTTTCAATATGTAATGAGGTACAAATTCTATTATGGAAACCGCATCTGATAGTTACGTTCTCTAGTATTGTTTTGATAAAGAAAGTATTTGGTGCACCCCATCGTATCAAATGTCCTCAGATGGACTGAGGGACTCACGTGAATCGGTGAGTCAGCGGACTCATAAAAACTAGATCTTTTGATAAAATCAATAACAAAAGAACAATTGTTTGGCTTCATTGGTATTAAGCATCCATCTTAAAAATGGTAAATAAGTGGTCCATTTAAAAATAATTGTAACGAATAGTCCAAATGTTTTTTTAATATAAATATTATTTTTATTTTTTATTTTATATTTATGATCTCCATATCAAAGATTATATATTTTTTAAAATTTAGAATCAAATTATATTTAAATATGTCTATTGCGACGCCCGCATTTCTACAATATGCGGGCTGGTCGCATGCTAACCGCGTCCATGACAAAACTTTGCCCACCCCAGCTGCTGCGGTGCCCCTGACCTTTTCAATTGGTCGGACTGCTCTGCCGCAACGTACTTCAAACATGGCGTATAGGTCATCCCAGCATCTGTGGCGCCAAACATACAGGACTGTTTTTCGCTCTACAAACCCTAATGTTTTGTGCCCTCGCCTCAAATCCAAATCACAACTCCCCATTTACAGTGCTTCTACGTTTGTTCTGCAAAGATTTTATGGCTCAAAAGTTGGTGAATCCGGTGCAGCAACCTCTGTAAGTTCATCCTTGAAGCAGGCCGAAGTTGCCAAATTTGCAGCAATTGCAGAGACATGGTAAGTTATTCCATTTTATCTTTTGATTTTATTGAGAGTTTTGAGTTTGTTTCAGATGAATTTTTGGTAGCATTGATTGGAATTATGATTATCTGCATTTTTAAGTTTATTATGGTTTAGGATTCAAAAGTGTTATGATAATTTTGGCCCAGTATAAACTTGTGTTGTTGTGGCCATTTTTTAATGTGAATTAGCTGAAAAATCTTTTGAGCAGCAGTTGCTCGTGAAAATGAGATTTTGGACTGACTCCTATTCTGCAATTTCCCCATTTTTTCTTTCTATAATGAAGCCACTGCTTCAAAGAAAAAAAGCTAGAGAGAGGACGGCTTTAGCCTTTCATATGACTGCATTTGTCATCATTAGTAGGTAAACCACGAGCATTAACTAGCTGGCCTCATAGATGTACCCTGATGTTATCTAATGATTATTAGGATGTTACCCTTGATAAGCAAAGAGAATTAGGAGGCTTTTAAATTTGATATGGCTAAAAAAGAAAAATCGTATGTGACTGTAAGTATTTAGTGGGGTGTTGTTAGCTACAAAATAGGAATGTGGTAGTCAATGTAATCGTGAGTCCTTAGTGGAGTGTTGTTAGCTACAAAATAGAAATGTGGTAGTCAATATAACCATGAATCCTTAGTGGGGTGTTGTTAGCTACAAAATACGAATGTAAGTAGGTAGCTGTCGGGTGGCATGTTGAGTCCTGTGGAGTCTTTGTAAATATGGAAACGGAATTAATGGAGGATGATCTTGAAGTTGTTTCTTGAATTTTCTAATGGTGTAATCTCTCTTCTAAGATGATCTCTTCTTGTCTTGGATCCTCTTTGAGCAGTGCTTTAACACTATACCTCGAGGAAGCAAGAAAAACAAATTTAAATTTCAATCTCCAAAATCTGGACCCACTATAGTAGTATCAGAGCACGATCTAGCCATGGTGGATGGGGCTTCCAACACGTGCGTCGCTCAGATGGAGGAAAGAATGAGAGAAGTCCAAGTCTCCCAGGAAGAACTCAGAGAAGTCTCCAACCAATTGAGGGAAACTACAACTAGATGAGATGAGGCTGGATAAGATGAGGCCCCACAACAGAGACCCAGAAGGATCAAACGACAATACCTATGCTTCTGCAGTGGGAGGCGGCAATCTAGGTGTAGTAGGTACCACACATACATTACGATCATACTAGGGGCATTGAAACTAGGATAAAGAAGCTTGACTTTCCAAGATTTGATGGGAAGAATCCTACGGGGTGGCTCTTCAAAGCAAAACAATACTTCTCCTACCATCAAGTACCACATAAAAAATGGCTCACCATCACCTCCTTCAATGTAGAGGGGGATGCCTTAAAGTGGTATCAATGGTACAAGGAGTACTAGCCTGATTAAGTTGGGACGAATTCGTGGAGGCATTGGATGCGTGGTTTGGGCCAAGTAGGAGTGAAGACTTTGTAGGCAAGTTGTCTAAACTCATTCAATCCACCACTGTACTTGAATATCAGAAAGAATTTCAGAGACTCTCCAATCGGGTTAGGGGGTTGTTTGAAGGTTACTTGATCAGCCTTTATTTGTGTGGATTAAAGGAGGAAATTCAGCTAGGTGTCCAGAAACTTCAGTCGACTACATTGCCTGAAGCATTTAGTCTTGCCAAAATTTGAGAAGAAGAGGTGAATGTGAAGAAGAAGGTGATGAAGGTGGAGTTTAACAAGCCTAACAATAGCTACTCTTCCAAGCCCATTCCAACTGTAAGGAAGTTGACTCCTGCAGAGGCAAGAGAAAGGAGAGAGAAGGGCCTATGCTATCACTGTGATGAGAAGTTCACTCCCAACCACAAGTGCAAGACCCAAAAATTGTTTTGGGTTGAGGGGCTGTTGGAGGATGAAGATGAGGAAGAAGTGGTGGATTCGGCCACTGTAGAAGTGCAAGAGGTTGGGTTAGGTGAGGCACAAGAGGATGATGTGGCGTTAGAGATATCTTTGCATGCTATTACAGGAGCCCGAGCACCTCAGACAATGAGAATTATTGGGAAGTTGAGACATTGCCAACTCACCATTTTGATAGATAGTGGGTCTACTCATAATTTAATTGATCCTTTCCTTATCAAGAAGGCTAATCTTCCAACTCAATTGGATGGAGTGTTTGAAGTGATGGTAGCTAATGGGAAGAGATTAGAGGGGAGTGGGCGTTGCAGATGCTTATCCAGTCACAAGGAGTTTCAATAAAAGCTTATTTTTACTTGTTATCTCTTGGTGGATGTGATGCAGTTCTTGGGGCCTAGTGGTTGTTACACATGCTTGGACCTGTTTTGTGGGATTTTGCATCCTTATCTATGAAATACAAAGAAGGGGGGAAGAAGTATACGTTGAAGGGAATTCCATCCAGTAAATCAAAAGTTGTGGGACCCGACAAGGTGGCAAAACAAATGAGAATTTCTGGCTGGGCCTATCTTCTCCAATTGTGCAACATGGTCGTGGCTACAGGGAACCCAAACATTGCTCCATGTGTCCAGCCATTGTTGGATCAGTTTCCAGTTGTTTTTGAAGAACCGCAAGGCTTCCCTCCATCTAGATCTCATGGCCACCGCATGCCCCTTGTGGATGGAGCTGCACCAATTTCAGTTCCTTATTTTCAAAAGTTTGAAATTGAGAAAATAGTTAAAGAATTGCTTGCCAATGGTGTTATTAGGCCAAGTACCAGTCCCTTTTCCTCACTAGTACTGTTAATGAGGAAACAGGATGGGTCATGGCGCATGTGTGGATTATCGACCCCTAATCATGTTACAGTTACAGACCGGTTTCCGATTCCAGTAATTGATGAATTATTGGACGAGTTGTATTGTTCCCAATTTTACAGAGCTGTATTTGCATTATGGGTACCACCAAATTTGAGTTAGAGATGAAGATGTGCACAAGACAACATTTAGGACTCATGAACGCCATTATGAGTTCCTAGTGATGCCTTTTGGGCTCACAAATGCCATGCCCCTTCCACTTTTCAAAGTTTGATGAATGAAGTGTTTAGGCCCTATTTACGCAAATTTGTGCTAGTATTTTTTGATAGCATCCTTGTGTACAACCGCTCCTTTAATGATCATTTGAAGCACTTAAAAGTGCTCTCGCGTGAGAATAAGTTGTATGTTCAGAGATACTTTCTGAAACACTTTTCAAATACAAGAGTTCACTATCTTCTCACGAATTAGTGAAGTAGAATGTTTTTGTGCAGAATAACAAAGAAAAGAGTAGATCAATCTTGAGAAATTTTATCGTAAATGTAAAATACTCATACAAATACAAATGTGGGAGAAATCAAGAAAATGCAGGGTCGTTTATCTGCTTGGCTAGTCGCGTACGAGCCTGCCCCACGGATGTATTGGAAATGATACCTTGGGACGGATGTAAAGTTAAACAAATAGCTTCTGCTCCAAGAACAGAGGACTGTGTAGGTTGTAAGAGATGTGAATCCGCCTATCCAACGGATTTCTTGAGTGTACGTGTTTATTTATGGCATGAGACCACTCGTAGCATGGGTTTAGCTTATTGATATCTTCTGGAAAACTTCCTTTGAATCCATTTGATTCCTCTTTACCGACAAAAACCCGTACTTGATTATATAAAATCTATTATTTTATTCCGAGCACGGGTTTTTCTGGTCAAAGTGTATCTTGTCTTAGCTTCTAAATGCTCTTTTGGGTGTTTTGAAGTTAATTACTTGGGTCATGTGATTTCTATTGAGGGTGTGGCAGTCGACCAAGACAAGGTGAGGTGTATGCTTAGTTGGCCTAGACCAAATTCCCTAAAATCCCTAAGGGGATTCCTTGAGTTGATCGGCTACTATAGGAAATTTGTGCAAGGATACGGCAATATTGCAGCACCATTGACTTCCTTCCTCAAGAAGGGCTCTTGGGGGTGGAATCATAGTTGTTGGAAACGTCTGGGAACCCGAATCGTTTTAGGAATCGGAATCGTAGAATCGTGGCCGGCTAAAAGATTCCTGTCTTTGGAATCGTTGTCCGTACAATAGCAATCGCTAGGAACGAGATTCCTAATTTTTGAGAATCGTGTTTCGACCGAAATAGATCCAAGTTTCATTCACATATAGAATCGAGATTCCGTCCTCCTTGGAATCGAGATTCCCAACCCCCTGGAATCGACACTCTAGGAGTCAAGATTCATTAATATGCGGAATCGAGTTTCCGACATCTATGGAATCGAGTTTCTATCGTATGTGGAACAAAGTATTTTGTGATTTCGAATCGTGATTCTAACATATTTGGAATCAAGTTTCTGAAGTATATGGATAAGAGATCCATACCAGTTTGGCATCGAGATTTACAATAATATGGACTATGGAATGCGTTTGACCACCCCTGCCAGGAATCGCGATTTCATTTTTATGGAGAAGGAAGCCACAAGCACCTCTTGAGCCTCATCAACTTTACAACCTATATTGGATGTCTCTTATCATAAGGTTTCCCTAATTTTAAAGTGATTGTGTTGACTATTGAATTTACAGTCATTATATACAAAAGACAAGTATTTCGAAATTGTGATTGACTTCATTATTATAAAGACAAAATAGGATTATGTCTATGCCATGGTTTTACTTTTAATTATATGTGTTGTATTTACCAGTTATATTTTAAATTTAAAGTAAAGGACATGTAAAATAATGAAACCCTGCAACCACTTTTCTACTGCATTTGACATGGAATCATGATTTAATCCTCGTTGGAATCTAGATTCGGTATATTTGGGAACGTCTACCCGCAATAAATGGGTTCAAGTTTCTAAAGATGTGTTGGATCGAGATTTCGAAATTGAGGGATCGAGATTTCAAAAATGAGGAATCGAGTTTTCTTGGTTCAAATAAATGGTTTCTATAGATTTGTTGAATAGAGATTCCGAAATTAAGGAATCAAGTTTCCTTGATTCTGAAAAATAGTTTCTAAAGATGTGTTAAATCGAGATTCCGAAAATATGGAATCGAGTTTCCTTGGTTCCAAAAAA